ACACATTAATAATAAAAATTTAAATAATTATTTATATAATATTATAGTATTATAATAACAATATTTTGTTAATTAGTTGAAATAAAATACCTATAATTATGGTTATACTAGTATAAATGCAGATTATAAAGCATCTGTATAATCTTGATTATGCAGAAAGATGCAAACTGATACCAGATAATGCAAATCCAAAGTAAGTTTTTGTGATTATGTAAATTTATAAAATTAAAAAAAACTAAAACCTATTTAAAAAACCCAAATAAAAAAATAATACAGATTTTTAATAATATTACTATAAAGTCTAAATTAAAGAAACAAATACCAATATAAAAAAATTAGACAGACAAGAACCTCTAGGTAAAGAGTATTATTAATTAGACTGTTAGACTAAACTTAATATACCAAAAACAGGTTATAGTCTTTCTAAACTATCTAGATTAGAAATCTAAAAATAAAACAAAGATAGAGATGTAACAATTTAGTAAAGTGATTAGATTGTCAACTTCCAAATAGCAGGTCCAAAGTTCAAATCCTAATATTGACAGAAAATTTAAAAATTCTTTTTGTGTTACAGTAAATTGTTTCTTGTAATTGGTTAGGATAAGATATCTGTTACCTGTGTTGTACCAGCATAACTGACAGATTATATAGCATTTATGTAACAGTTATGTAATATTGTTTTTTGGAACAAGGTCTGTGGTTATATAAAGGAATACAAACTGGTACTGAGTAGTACAAACCTACAATAAGTTCTTATAGCCATATAAATTATAGAAACCAAAAGAAGGAAGACAGAAGCCTACTTAAAAGACCTGAATAGAGAGATAACCTGAACTTTTGACAATATTACTATAAAGACTAGACCTATGAAATGAAGCTAAAACTTGTAAAACTGGGCAAATGTGCTGGTCTTTGAAAAGAGACCAGATGAACCAACTAGACTACCAAAATTTTTAAATTTCAGAGAAAAAGAATACATGTTAACAAATATATAAACCAGAGGTATGGTTACAACCTACCTTTTTGGGCTATTTGAAATGACAGTTTGGTAGAACTTAAATTGAATACTAAAATAATAGAGATATGTTGTAAAGTTAGTATCAGAGTTGGAATAAACTCTACAAAGATATAGTGGTTTAATAATATGCTTTAATTGCAGTATTAGTTTCAGCCATAATAATACTAGGTCAGCTGTAAGAATAGAATACAGAAGATTCTAAAAGGTTTAGTATAAGATCAAAGATTCCAAAAAACTGTTTTAAAGACTTAGTAGTCATAGCATATTTTTATTGGCATCAGTTAGGGTCATTGGTAGGCAGAGGTAGATGAGTAGATATAGAAACTAGAGTAGTTAAATAGAGAACCTACAAGCAGGTTTCAGATATGGCAACTAATGTAGAACCTTCAGGTGAACTACTTAAATTAGACAATAACTAAAGTTGTACAAGTAGCTAGTTGTACACTCTTTCTATAATTGTTTTCTGTAATTATAATGCAACTATTAGCCAAATATATTATCAATAAAATCCTAGATTGCAAGTACTTGTCTTAATATTTAAAAAAAAAAATAAAGCAAAGATATGCTAAAGTACTAGAGATATACTATAAAGTAAATACTAAGATATGAATAAACTTTGCAAGAACATAGTATTGTTAAGATTTGTAAAATAAATAAATAACTTAACAAAATGCCTCTTATATCTTATTGTCAGATAATAGCATTGTTATAAATAGGATAATAATACAAAAAAGAGATAACATCAAATCTGAATAGTTTTTAATAAGAGACAGCAATAGGATAGATAAATCAGAAAATTTAAATAGGACATCCACAAATAGAAGTCAATTATAGCAGATAGTAAGTAACTTTAGAATAAAATTCTTAAATAAATAATGACTAAAGTTGTATATATGATTAGCTTTATTTTTATAAACTATGTATTTACTTAGATATTACTAATTAATAAAATTATTAATTTGATTGAGCAATTAATTATTTATTAACAATAAAAAAAAATCTGTATAGTATATTAATGATTATAAATAATATAACAAAAAAAATTTTTTTTAGATTACAATTTTAAGTTTTTTTTTTAATTTTTTTTATTTTATTCACAAATATTATTTTTTTTAAATATTAAAATTTTAAATATTATTATTATTACCAATATAAAGATAATTATATATTTAGTAAAATTATATATTGCATTATTTTTAATTGTTTTTAACAAAAATCAGATCACATGAGTTATGTTATATAAATACAAATAAAAATATAAGTTTTATTATTAATTTTGTATTTTGTATAATATTATAATTAATACTAATTAAATTAAAAAAATTATACAATCTTTATTCAACAAATCCAAATATTATATTTTTTTTTTAATAAGAATATATCACAAGAATAGTAGATCAGATCTACTATATTAACTTTTCTAGTCTTACAAATTAGAAAAAAATAATTAACAATCTATATGCTTAAAAATTTAAAAAAGATTGATTACTTAATTTTATTAGATAAACTAACTCAAAAAAGAATAATAAATCTTATTATTTTTTGTTATTATTAAAATGAAAACTTATTTTAAAATAAATAAAGATATTAAAATTTTAATATTTATTATTTACTAGATATTTTGAAACTATGATTAGTATTAAAAATAAAAAAAATTCTATTTGAATAATAATTATTAAAAAATACACTTTTTTTTGTAATAAAATATAAAAATTAAATTGTTAAAGATTGGTCTAAGGTAATTTGATCAAATGAATCAAGGTTCTAAATTTTTGAATCAAATAGTAAACAGTATTATTAAAAGTATTATAGAAAATTGTTAAACCAGTTCTATATTAAACACATTATGAAATTTGATAATAGATCAATTATGATTTGAGGTTACTTTATCTTTTATAGTGTTGGTAGTTATTGTAAAATTAATAGTATGATAGATAGTGAGTTATACTATTTAATACTTTATGAAGATTTGATATAGATAATTGAAGATCATGAATTTGAAATTGATAAAATTATTTTTCAACAAGATAAAATATTTTATTATATGACAATCTTGACAAAACATTGACTTAAAAGGAATAAGATAAAATTTTTGATTAATCTCCTCAATTGTCCAATCTTAATCCAATCAAACACTTGTGAAATGAAGTTGATTGTTGACTTAAAGACCTTCCTGATCAAATTTCAAGTAAAAAGAATCTCTAGAAAAAATTCAAATGGTTTGATAAGCAATCAATATTGAAACCCATATGAGATTAATTCTTTCAATGCCAGTATGAATCTGTGATGTAATTAGAGCCCGGATGGTTACACTAGATGGTGATGACCAAGAATTATTAGAAAAAAAACAATTTTTTTTTTATATATAAAATTTTTTTTATTTTACAATCATGTTGCTGTTAAAATGGGCAAAAATAATGCTCGTGCCCCAAAAAATTTTTGATCACTAAATTTTTAAATCATTTTTATTAATAATAATATTACTATTTGCAAATAAAATAAAAAAAAATTTAACAGATACGCCCGGAATTGCGTGATTGCCAGTGTATTACATAATCGATTGGAGGGTCTAATGCAAGTGGTATAGTGATGATCATTAATTTTTTTATAATTAGGTAGTGTAAAAAGTATAAAATTAAAATTCACGAGTAAAATTATATTTGTCGGGTGTTTGGAACATAGCCGAGGACTCAATTTCCATGCAAAATGGTCGTGTTTGATGTATTTTAACAAAAACATCAAAAACGACCATTTTGCATAGAAATTGAGTCCTCCGCTATTTCCAAACAATAAATCAAAAAAGGCGTTATTTAAAGAGCACGTTAAAACGAAACTGATAAATATAATTTGTATAGGTTTGTTGGTTCAAGAGTTATTGCAATTTAAATTTACTATTTACGCTACCGTCAGATGTTCCAAAAATAATGGAAACAGCTATAATTCACCAACAAAGAATTTCTGGTTATTGTCGTTAGGACAGACTAGAATTAGAGTTAAAGTTAGTATAATTTGTAAAAAAAATTTGCCGGTGAATTAATTGTTGCTGAAATAAACTTGGCACTGAAATGAAACTTGTCGGTGAACTAATTATCAATGAACTAAGCTGTCGGTGAAATGATACGTATCCGAAAATATTACTGCGCAAATATTGAATGTATAAAAACCTTGTTTTTCTTAACTCTAAGACGAAGATTGTTCAAACAATTACTCTTGCAATAAATTGATAAATGCCTTTTTGCTAAACAAAGATCGTTAATTAATCGTTATGCAATATTTTATTTCGACACTTATTTTGTAGATATAACACTTCTTCACTGACGCTTATTGCACATAGAGATGGACAAGGTAATTACTTATTACATAAGTTAAATCACACTATGCGACAATTTAGCATATTATTAGTTGTAAGTACGGTATATATTATTAATAAATTGTTGCATAATGCGATTTGATTTGTTACCGACAAAGTAATTCTGATCATCGTAATAAAGGTTAATGTAATTTATAAAAATAAACTTGCCAGTGAAATGAGCTGTAGGTGAAATGAACTTGTAGGTGAATTAAGTGTCAGTGAAGTGAGGTGAATTCCTTGATATCTAGTATACGGTGATGTAAGATTTTCAACAGTAATTCCAAGATAGCTTGGTTGATATTTGACTCGCCATCTTGGCAGAAGGCAAAATTGAAGGAAAAGAAAATTGCGCATCTTGGCGATTATTATTTGGATGAAATAGTACATATGTACAGGTGACACCTATTCTAAATTGATTACTAACAGTGTCACTTCATCAGATCAGGCAAGAACTTAAGGATCTTGAATAAGTCATTATCATTCAGCTTGGATTTTTGATATCCGACTTCCATCTTGGCAATAAGCAAATTAGCGGATAAAAAATTGCTCATCTTGGCAATTTTATTTTATAAAATGTAACTAATACTCTAACACACACAATAATAAATACTATTCAAATTCCATATCACAATGATATCCTGCCTTCCAGTCGAAATACTCCTTCAAATATTTTTGGCAATTTATTATTCCAAGCCTAAAAGTCGTCCTTATGAACAATATCAAACACTTCATTCATGTTTATTGGTTAATAGATTTTGGTGTGTAAACGTCATTTCAATCCTTTGGTCAAGAGTTTTTTCCTCAGATTCCCTGGTTCGTTTAGGAGCCATAAACAAATATATTTCTTGTTTAAACCCCGAAAAATATCAGCTCCTTCTGGATGCCGGTATGAAATTTCCAAAACGTTCAGAACGTCAGTTATTTGATTATCCTTCATTCTTAAAAGAGTTACAATTTGATATATTTTTAAAAGATTTGTCTGTTTGGTGTATTGAACATGGAGGTTATCGTTGCCATAATCTTAAATTCCAAAACCTCATGTTAAAAACCTTATTAGAATTATTCTCCGAAAGAGGTGCCAAATTAGATGTTTTTTATATGAAAGATGTTTATAGAAGCGCGTTTCCTTCATATCACACAGAATTAAAACATCTGGATTTTAGTGTGTTAACATCTGTCAATGTTAAAGAAATGTTCTTGAATTGCAAAAAAATGAGATTAGAAGGAGATGTGCTAGCGCTTGATAATATTATAGACATTTTTACATCAATTTGTAATAATATCGAACATTTAACACTCGATTCTCCGAACATAGAACCCAAGGTTTTACAAAATGGAGTATTTAACTTTTTGGATCCGACATCAGACTCATTTTTATCTAATGAAATAGATAGAAAAGAAACTCTTTCCAAAATCTTAATAAAATCTAGTAATAAATCTAGTGCAATTGCCAATTTAATTGTTTCTCAACGCAAACTTAAGACTTTGGTTTTAGTTAATAGGTTCTCAATGTATTATATGCCCTTTCATCACACAATCCAGTTTATATAATAAAAAAAGAGAGATTCAATTTATAATTATATAATTTTTTGTGAGCTTATTCATAAATAGCTGAACCTTTACTATCGAGAAAAAACAGATACCTGATTTAATAATTCGAAGTGATTGTTTTTTTGTTTTTTTTTTAACTTCACATATTTGGATCAATGCCAACTTTTCTTTTCCTCCTACACCTATACAAGCATATAATTGTAATAAAAACAATAACAATAACGATTACAAGCCCAATAAAACCTAGAATAATAATAGATGCTAGATTTGGAGAAGGGTTTTCCGGTAATGCGCTAGTGTAAAAATTTGGTGTAAATGTTGTTAACCAAGTGAAATTTGTGACATCTAATATGTAAATGTTTAAATCAGGTCTACCCTGAAGTTGCTGCGATTCAGTTGTATTTCCTTAAAAAATATATATATATATATATATAATTTAGATGCGTACCATGTGTATCATTTCTCAAGAAACCGAGATCTCGTTGGGGATTACTTACCTAATGCTACCACCATTAAATCTCCAACTAATATAGCAGTATGAGAGTATAATGTCGGAGGCTTACTCCCAGTAACCATCTGTTGAACCCATGTAAAGGTTTTTTCGCTTGTAAGAATGGCAAGTGATGGTGTTGGCAAAATCGAATCTTGTCGAAATCCTCCACAGATAATGATCTTAGCATCTTTTTTTACTAAGAAAATGGTTTAAATGTTTGTTATATAAATGAGTTGGTTGATTTACTTATTATTTGATGGCAATTCGTATAAATTTACCCAACACTGCTGAATGTTCCGAACGGCTATTTGGGACAGAACCATCTGCTATCTAAATCATATCAATAATTTTTATTTATTACTTTGTGGATAAACATTATGATACATTATGATAATTATAAACTTACGAGTAAATTCCAACTTGAAGTTTTCGTACTATATATTGAAATCTATTTTTGGTTCATAAATTTGAGTTTAAATATGCGTTTACTGAAAAATGATGTTCCAAAGCTTGCTTAAAACTTGCCTGATCCATTGGCACATAATTGAAACTGCTATCAAAACCACCAATATACAAGATTCTTCCGTCATCCAGTAAAGTAGCCGTATGTCCTGATCTCGAAATTGGTGCGTTTATATAAATTGACCATGATAATTTAACAGTATCTAAGACAACCGTATCGTTATACCAAGTGAATGTATTGTTTTTGATTCTATATCCACCAAATATAAATGTCTGTCCTAAAGAGTTTGTAACTGAACTCGTCCCAATTCTTCTCAGTTCTGGCAAATTTCCTGTAATTATGGAATCGATGTCGTATACACTGCTATAATTGTCATTTCCATCAAAGATTTTGATGTCAATAGCATATACACTACTGTGATTATTGTCTCCACCAAATAGAAATATCGTTTTATTATCGTTATTAAGACCAACGGATGTGATTGACCAGTTATTCGGAAATTTCGTTGGCAGGCTTTTAAGAGGTGGATTTACAGTAACAAATGGGTATGAAATGTCAAGACTAAAGAATTTTGTGAAATTATTACTCCCAATAAAATATATATTCTTTCCAATCAGACTCGTTGTATACTTAAATGAAGAAAAAGATAGCATAATGAAAAGTCCATAATATTTCAATATGTAATTTAAGAAATGAGGTTATGATGTATATATATACCATTATTTATTAACGTTAAATTTTTTTTTTATCCTGAAACTAAAGTAATGAATCAAACCCTTTTATTTTGCGGGACCAGAATTCAAAAATGGTTATCCAGATCTAAATTTAATCGTTATTATAGTTACCTTGATTGACCTCGTGTAACGGAATTCACCGTTATAGAATTATACCGTTATAATAACCAAAAGAATATTTTATACGTATTAAAATGGCGCCAAGAAACAAACAGACCCGTATTTTCAAGTTTATTATTTATTATTTACTGGACACCAGCGACATATATGCGTAAAGTATGCACCCCAGCGTCTCATGACCTCACGAGTCTAAAAAAAAAAAAATTTACTTGCGTATCATATGTCTGATCAGAGCTGAACTGGCAAATAATAAATAATAAACTTGAAAACACAAAGTCCGGTTTTCCTTGGTGTCACTCGTATGTTTATGACCTAGTGTTGTGCATTCTTGATATCCAAAGCCTTTTTGACATATCACTTCCAATGTTCCCCTTTTCAATTTCCGTCCAAATGTTCAAGAGTGTCCAAAGTATAGCCAAATTTAAATAATAAATTTACATAAAAGTACATAATATTTCCTTTTGAGTAATGTCTAAATGTTCAGACCACGTGATTTATCGATCTGTCTCCATTGTAAAAATTTTTATAATAATTTCCATAATCGCCATAATCACAATACGTACACTTACATAAAGTATGCAATTTTTTTTTTAGTGTAATAGTTTTATATATTTGGAACGTACATTGTGTTCTATCACTATTATTGATTTGTATATATACTTATTTTAGTCACAGGTCACAGGTCACAGGTCGAAAGGTGGCAATAAGACACCAGATTGCGTTTCCCCAGATTTGTGTGCATTTTTATGATTGGTTGTTTATTCCTATTGAAAAATACTATCACATAAATTTTTATGATAGAACTTTCAATTTGAAGACAGAGAAAATCTTTTCAATAATTAATATGGTGCGAACGGCATAATCGCATCGAACAGCTAAGCCACCGCTGAAATTTATGCCGGGCTTCACGCTTCATGTAATTAATAACCAATCAATTATCACGAGACATATATAGACATAGACTCTCTTCTAGCATTGGTAAAGTTCATTTCAATTGGATAAAAAAAAGATCGTCATTAATGTTGATCAACTGTAATTTTAAAGTATTCGCCCTAATCTATTCGTTATAAGGAAAAAAATTTTTTTATGAAAAAATCCAATAATTATACGCACACACATATATATTACTCATTATACTGAACTGTCATCCGGTCGGATCCAATGGACGAAGAACCTAAATGAGAAGACAAAAAGTTACGTTTTCTTAGCAATTACAGGGCTATTGTGGAGGTTTATTAAACTTCTACGATTTTGAATTTTTAACTTCATTGGTCTTGCAATAAGTATTTGATGTATAAGACTTATTAGTATAATGAAAAGAAACAGTCGAAATACTATAACTGATCTATTTATTTACTTATTTACTTTTTAATTATCAAATTACCAAGCACTGATATGATTGATTTTAATCAAAAAATTTTGTATGTTTTTTGAATCCTATCCAGTTCTATTTCTTCTACCGTTTCATCATTTTCATTTAAAGATTCTTTAGCATTAAGTCATATTTTTCTTTTTTAGTTAGGACATTTGGTTTCTTCTTTAATCTACTTGCAAAAGATTTTATATTGCTATATATTTCATATTTGTAATATTTTTCACAATAATGGCAACAGAATTCTATTTTTTGATAGCATTGAAAATAGTATTTATGTCTGCAAATTGATATTTAATTATTCTTAAGTTCTTGGTGACAATAATCACAAGCATTTGGTCATGGAGGTACATCAGTACTGTATACTATAGGAAAGTATTTTGGATCAACAGTTTTTCCTAAAATAACTAATTTATATTGATCTATTTTATATTTATTTTTTTTATAATTTTTGAAAAGTTATAAAAGTGTTTTAATAGAAATAATGCAGTTTTTTCTGTAAGAAAATTTAATGCTTGTGGTTTATAAGAGTATTGTTACATTTTTTTAAAGATTTTTTTTAAGCTTGCAATAATTTTACAAGTTTAATAAATAAATTAATTTTATTAGAACAATTTATAATTATAACTATATAATCAAAAGATAAGAAAAAATAAATAAGCATAAATGATTACAAATGAGTAATGTTAAGAAAAAAAACATTTTAATTATATAAAATTATATGATTAAAGTATTTTTTCTTAACATTATTTAGATAATCAATTATATAAAAAAAATTTGTAATTGTTTATATGATTTTAATATAAATATATAAAAGTAAGTTAATAGAAAAGAAATAAATTTTTTCTAAATAAAAGTTTTCATGACTTTAAGTTTAAATATTTTAATAATTATTTTATTAAATTTAATAATTTTTTTTATTTTAATTATATATAATTTTAAAATAAAAAAAAATTTATATATAGTCATGGCTACATGTAGCCTATACTATATAACTATACTATATAATATATTATATTATACTATAAGTTATTATAAAATACTACAATATAATATATAATGTCATGTAACTTACAATATATAAAATACTACTATATAATACTGTGTAACTAAATAATAAATCACATGATTCTATTAACTAACTTACTAAATTTAATACTTGATTCACTAACTGTAATAAATTACAATATAATTCTAACCTGTTAACTGCTAACTATCTAATAATCTATACTAAATCTAATGCATCAAATACAACTACTCAAACTACAATAATATAAAAAAATAATAAAGTTTTGCTTCAGCTGTCACCTTTACTATGCTTTAGCTGTTACCTCTGCTATGATTCAGCTTTTGCCTCTGCTATGTTTCAGCTGTCATCTCTGCTATGTTTTTTTAAACTAAAACATCTAATTAATAGTTTTTATTAGGTTTTTACTCTAACCCTAAATATGAATAAACACTAACTACTAACTTACTAATTCTAACCTGTTAACTATCAACTAATCTAATAATACTTACTAATCTATTCTAATTTAAAATAATAAACAAACTGATACTAACTACTTTAATATAACTTGCTAATATCAAACATATCTATATAAATTATACTAATATAACTTGCTAATACTAAACTTGTCTATGTAAATTATACTTATATAACTTGTTAATACCAAACTTATCTACATGAATTATACTAATATATCTTACTAATACTAAACTTGGCTATACAAACTATGTACTATAATAAGTTAGAATTGGTTTAATACCAATACATTATAACACATATAACAATTTAATTCTTAAAATAAAAATTAAATTATATAAAATCATTAGCATTTAGTTAGTTCATATTATGATAATTAAATAAGTTAGATAAATAAAGATAACTTAATTGGTTTAAGCAATAATATTTAGTGCATATACATATATTATTTTAATCATAAATAAAATACATTCTAAGAAAAAAAATAATGAATTTGATTTTTTTTATATCATTTTTCGAAACTAGCTTTATTATGTTCATGCTTATAACATTGTTGACATTTGGTTGGCTTCTATCTTGAAGTAGATTTTTGGTTTTGTTTTATTTCTTGAGATCTTTTAAAACCTGTTTTGCATAATGTACCTTTCTTTAGATGAACAATAGAATTCTGCATTAAAGATAGATCTATTCTCTTAGCATTATCATGGTTTTGAGTATAATCTAAATCATAATTGCTAGACTTATCTAAATTGTCAAAATCATTTTGCACATTATTATTTAATACATACTAATTCTTAACTAGAAACATGTTTTAAAGTATATTTCATTATAAAATTCTTCATAAAATTGTTAAACTCTTGTATTGCTAAAGATCCTGCATCTAGTCTCATCTGAATTGCTTTTTTAGATAGTCTATTAGTTATTGCATATTCTTTTTATTGATTCAAAAACCTATGTATAGTTTCATAAGAAATATCAAAGATCTTAAAAGATACATTTAAAAATGTTTCATTATTTAATATAGTTTCAGAAGATTCTTGAAATCTATCAGTAAAAAGTTATTGTTTAAGAACTGAGACAGGTTTAAGTTGTTTCTTATCTTTGTATCAATGTTTTAAAATAAGAATAATATAAAAAAATGCATATATTAAATTTCCTAATAGGCAAAAAAAATAATACATATGATCTCATGTTAAATTAAACAAAAACAAGTGCAAAGATGTGATTGATTATTAAAAAAAACTACATAGTTCTTTTTACTATATTGGTGATGAACAATTTTCCAAATTTTAATAACATCTTCATAGCATTTAGTTGAAATTAGCTCCTTTAGAAATATTAATGGAACATCAATAGCATCTTCTACAAAATTAGTACTAAATAATTTATCTTCATATCCAAGTTCAAAGACATAGCTTTTATCTACTAGCAGGAAAGTGTATCTATTATATTATTTACAAATTTATATTAGTTAATAAGCAATATTGCAAATTCTCAAAATAACAAACATGAGCATTATTTTAAGTTATAGTTTGAATTAAGTGTAATTTAGGCTATAACTCAAAATAATAGTTATGCTTATTATTATAGTAAACTAACAAATAGTCATACTATACTAAATAGCTTGAGCTATTTCTTGTTATTATATTGAAAAGGCTATAGATGTTAAATAATCAATTATCCATTTATTAATGATAGGTGAAAAGTTATAACTTGTATAGATAAAAGTTAAACCAGTTACAGAATATGGTTACTAGAGTTAAAAGCTTTTCTCTATATGATATGTATTGTAAAGATAGTAACTAATTGATATTATTTTATAGAGTATGTTAGTTAGAGATTTGTTATTAGTAGAATCAGACCATTCTGTTTGTAATTAGTATATCTGTTTTATTGTAGTTTTTAGTTAGGGATGTTAAAAAGTCTGTCTGGTCTGGTCCTAGT